CCCCCTTTTTCCGGGCCCTGGGTGTGTCAAGATCAACTGAATTCAAAATGCTCCTTTTTTGGCACTGTAGCCTCTTCTCTGCTTTGGCATCTTAAGAATCTGGGGGAATCATTTAAAGATCAGAAAACTCCATTCACTTGGGCCCCTGAAGGCCTCACATTCTGTGACATGGTCATTCCAGTCGACTGAGCTCTGTCCCCTGCGGATGAGCCCATATAAGGAGGCTGTTTCCTGCGTTTCATGCTCCCTGCCTGTCCCTCTGCCCTCCTGTGCTCCCTTTACTGAAGAAAGCTGGTATTTTGGGACTGCAGCTCCTGCCTCATTCCTGTTCCTTGTTTATTTTTGGAGAATGACTATTTTTGCTCCTATCAAGGAGCTATGCGGGGTCGTGCCCCCTCCCTGCATAGGCAGCGGCTGCCCCTGGCAGGCTCCCTGCATTTCCCACACTCACAAACAATGCTCTGCCTCGAGAAATAAACACGGGAGACCCCTGCCGTGGGGGTTAGCTCTACCTCTTCCTCATCTGCGGCAAGAAATGATTTGGCCTTGGCTCAGTGTTGACCCCACACATATGTAGTCTCCCCTCTGTGAAGCCAGAAATCCTTAGGATTCACGCAGCCCCTTCCCTTCCTTAGCAGAAGCTTGAGGAACCCACGTCACCCCTCCTCTGCTGCAGCTGAGGCTCCTTTTTCGGTTGCCACATACTTTCCTCCTTTTGTGATGCTGTTGCAACCAATCTTCTTGAGCTGGTCCCTTCACAAATCCCTGTAGCCTACATTTCCTCGCTGGGCAACATCATTTGGGAGCTACAGAATCTGAAATCCATTTGCGGGATTCATCTTGTCCCTTTGCTTTCACTAGTGCCTGTCCTGGAAAATACCTAAGCCAGGGCTCTATGAGGGGTTTCGGGCAGGCTGACCCCAAAATGGTGAAAAAATGGACATCTCCCACCCCATGGGGGTTCATGCTCCTGTCTTTGAAAATTCCCATCATGAGTCCCAAACTGGATTCCTGTTTCCTCTTGCTGAGCAGCAGAGTACCGCATAGGAGAGCTCCAGGACACAGAAGGCAGTGTCTTCTGTAATGTCCAAATCATCTTCCCCTTTAATATTTCTCTGTGTGTGTATTCATCTCACTTAGCTTTAGAGTTCTAATTTCCTATTTTTGGCAGTGGAGAAAAGCAGGCGCTTCCGGGGAGCAATTCCTCACCTAAAATACGGTGTCTAAAACACGGGAGATGTCTTGAGGTCTAGGAAACGTGAAGCATATGATGCCCACAAGCTAGATGTGGGTAGCAGTAACAACGGCGTTGGTGGTGGGACGCGCTTTGCCAGCACGGCACACACGTCTGCTGCACTCACTGCACCTGGGGTGAGTCAATGCGTACGGACCTGAAACTTGTCATGGCCTTAGAGCGATTCATCCTGAACTTGCAAAGACACTTTAAACCATATCCAGCTTTTTAGTTTGAAGGTTTACTTTAAAATTCTATTTTGTGAAATACCATTTTAAACTGCCTCTGTCTTTTATTTGGTAAGTTGTTACCCTGTCCACTCATACTAATGTATCTGAACTAGCTTGACTTTGGTTTGATTGGAGTTAGCTTTAACATCTCTCTCCTCTTTATTGAAGGGGCCACCACCTAAACCCCCACGCCGGCAAGGAGGCTGGGCAGATGATCCTGCACTAGCGTCTAGCAAGTGAGTACTCGCATGTTTCCTTATCGAAGGGGTTCATGTAAGGATTAACTGAACATCACTAGTCGAGTGTTGCTGTCGCAGGCATTGCAACAATTTTTCTGGATCTTTATAGACTGTTGTCTGCAATATCCTTGTTCTGTATCAAATATTCTTGGTCTTTCAGACCATCCAAAGTGTTGCTCTTGCTTGGTTTACCTTGCTGATGCTCTTTATGAATTGACCTGACTAAGCTCACAAGTGTGTTCCAGCCCTTGTCTGTTGGAGACAGCATGTCCCTTATGTTGTACAGTAACTTTAAGGAATCATCAACAAAAAGAGCATAAAAAGCGTATTAAATACAGGATCTGTGGGGGTGATTTGTCTGCATGAATCCTTTACATAAGAATGACACAGAACAGTGTGCTACTTCAAGTACACAAGGAAGAGTTCAGGATTTAGCAATCAGCCTTCCCAACAAAGGTGAAATTTCTTTATACCTGTGAGGGGGGTTATGTTATAATGGAGATGGATGGAGATGATCAGAGGGAAGAGCTGATAGAAGAAAGTATATAAATTATTCATATATACAAAAGATACAAATTGGAGAATGCAGGTTGAGAAGCCTGATAGTTATGAGGGACAACTTAGGAAATATCACACCATGGTGACAAACTGGGTATCAGAACTAAGGTGTAGGTTAGACTTCCTTACAAGCGTTTCATTGAGAGCTATAAAGTTACACTCATGTTACAGTTTCTGCTCACAAAGCTGAAGGGCTCAGCCATGAAGTGATACGAATATATGTTAAGGTCAGTAATAAGGGTGAACGGAACTGCACCCCTGCCTTGGAGGCACTCTGATTTATGGAAAGGCTGTGTATTTTCTTTCCTGGCATCCTGATAATGGGATGGGATATCCAAAGACCTGTTACATATCCAGTATTTCTAGGCAAGTGAGGCAGGTTGTCTATACTTTTCAGTAGTCATTTTGGAAAACTGTGCTTTTTTTTCTGGGAAAGGTGTTGCTCTTTTATAATAAGAATAAATGAGGTTGGCTGCAGCTGGAAGTTGCCGTAGCAAAAGTGCATCTACCTCGGTGTTATAGAAAGATTCTATCAATGATCTTGGAATTTCACAGGACTAAGCAGAAGCTTTATGCTAGCCAGGAGTAAGGAATAACAGTGAATTGTATCATTTAGGAAAAATAGATTATGTAATTGGTGGCAAGGTGTGGGAGTGGATGGGAGGTAATACTGCTGCTCAGGGCTGACCATAATGTGTCCTGAGAGATAGCATGGCTTCACGCTGTGATATGTGTTGTTATAAGATGTTTTCCATCAGTTAACTCTCGTCTCATCGGATAGATTTGGAGCCAATGTCATCAGTCCCAATTGCATGGTTTACAGATAGAGCAGGGGATTGGCCTAAAAGGCTTCCTCCCAGGTTGGGCACAGCTCCGCTGAACAGGTGGTAGAGAAAGGGGTATAGACTTTCCTACCTGTGAGACTATGCACAGTGGGACCTGGGATGAAGATGTGTGCCATACATAAAAAGTACTCAATGGTAATTTCTTGTTCTGAATTAAGAGCTTTTATGGAACAAATTTAATGAAGGGAAAGGGGCTTCTTAGAATTATAAACGGGGCCAGCACTCTGTGCAATGCTCTCCTGTCATTTCTTTCTTTCAGCTGCAGATTGTGCACAAGTTGATCTTTCTCTCCTCCGCTCCCTCCCTCTCCCTCCGTTAAAACAGGCTGAAGTGGTGGTGCCTCTAGGGCTGTCTCCGTGACATATCCCAGAGTAAAGCGTCCATGTGAAAAGTCTGAGTCATGGGCTGATGTCATACCCCTGTCGCTGTAGCTTTGTTGCTTCTGTTTTCTCAGGCCTTATCTCCCTGCAGCTTTTCTACCAATTTGACTCAGTTTGGAAGCCCATTAAGATAATGTGCACTCATTTCACTAGGGTAGATGTAGTTACACTAGAATAATGTTATTATATTGGCATCTTTGGTGTAGGTATAGCAGTTTTGCTGGTGTGACTGAGACCTCACTTGGGGTTTGCACCGCTTCAAGAAATTTTGTTTTTAGAACTGACAGAGTTAAATCTATGTTTTTTTACTTAGAAATAGGGAGCAGAATGGCTGCAGTTAGGTTTTCTGTGTTGTGGGCACATACTGCAGGTCAGATGGGATTCTGCATCCATCTGTGAAGTAGTCTTGTACTTGTTAGTGTGTTATTCCCTCCCCATTTGAAGTCTAACTCTTTGATTCTGTTTCTGTCAGCCTGTTGCTGCTGCATAGTTGCTGCCTTTTCTGCAGGGAAACTTAAACTCTTTTTGGTATCTTTCTAGCTTAGAACCTATCAATGTGAGATAATTGCTTGAAATTGCTTTGTGTTTCCATTTGGCATAGAAGAATTTCATCAGCAGCCTGTTTTCCATTTTTTTTCTACCTTTGATTCCTCTAGTCCCTTACTTTCCCAGCTCTTGTCATGCCTAGGTAAACTTGCAAATATTCTCATTATCCTGCTGGTTCTTTCCATCAGATTGGTGCTGTCTCAGGCTACTGCAAGATGGCAAGGGGAGAAGCCTTGAAGATTTCCCATGTTTAGTTATTTTTAAAGCCAATTTGCACATAAAATAAGATAAAGGATTTCATCATAAGTTCCCATAGCACTTACAAGTGTCAGATGTTTAAATTCCCTCAAGTGATTAAAACATTGCCTTTTCTTGATAAGATTTCAGGAATTACAGAGAATACTTCGGACTTCCAGTACCTCTGCCCATCAGTTGTCTTTACTACTAGGAACAGCATCTTGTAAATCTGAGTAAGTGCCCAAGCAAACTCTGGAGGTCTTCCTCTCTGCTCAGTGAATAAATGGTACCAGGCAGTGACAGGAGAGTCTGTGTTTCTCACCGAGAGGGCCCTTTGCAATATAATCTGTATTTATTTTAATTTGTACTGAGCGAGAGAAGAATAGCCTAGAGGCAATCCCACTGCTACTTATTCTAGACCCAGTATGGGAGGAAAGGGGACCAGCCAAGAACTTCAGCTGCCACTTGGGGCCTAGTACCCTGCTGAGATTACATAAATAATAGTAATTACAGCTTTCTTTTTGCTACAGAAGCAGCTTTCCAACCACTGGATGGAGCCCAAGTGCCATTCTGAAGGCTGTGCTGATGTCCTTAATGACATCAGTGTTGACACTTGTGACAAGCAAAGCAGAGGTTTTATTGTCAGGGTATCTCATGCATGAGAAAGGAGAAGCACACACTGTCTGCCAGCAGGAAGAGGCAAAGGGAACTCAGTTCCTCACACTGGTGAGGGTTTAACAGATGAGGTGCTTCTGGAATCCACTTAATTCCAGCTTCAACCGATTTTATCCAAGTGGCTTTCCTTATGACAAATTTTTCTTACAGAATCTCTTCATTTTTTCTCCCTGTTAGTATCTTTATTTCTTTCCTTCTTGGGTTGCCTTCAGTTTCCTTGGGTCTGTGTTCCCTTTGCTTTTGTAACCTCCCTATGATTGGCCTTTCAAAATCAGTGGAGTTTTCCAGGCTGGGGCTGGTGTGCAATAAACACAGCTCATTTCAGGTGGCCCTGCAAGAAAAAGCAAGTGCCGCTTTCACTAGGAAGTCCCTTCCCTTTGCCTGCACATGGGAATCCTCTGTTTTGAAGGGATGGCGGCATTTCAGCAACAGGAGCCCCAGCTATAACTGAAGCTGCTCCTTTCTGACTGGTAGGTTTCACAGAGCTGGAATAACCAGGGCTTGTTTAGCAGCAGGGCTGTGCTGGAGTGTTTGGGAGCAGAACTGGCAG